CGCAACTGGATGCGCGGGAAACGCAGTCCGCGAGGGCGACTGTTATTTCCGCGGCTTGAACCTCGCGCTGAGATCAAGCAGAAATAAAATAACTTGGCACTGTCCCGAGTAATTGTTCAGCAGCTGAAATCCGAGCTAGAGAAATTACTAACTGTTTCGCGATCAATGGCAGGGAGATTGCTACACTTTTACCTCGATGAATTTCAGATATCCGTATTTATTATGTAAATACATATAAATAGAAAATTTCAGACATCCAGTTTCAGTAATATCTAGTGGGAAAATTTGTCTTTTCGGAGGATTACTAAGAAATAACTTCCCCCACTGAATATGAGATGTGCGTTCCGATATATTCGTCGAGGTGAAAGTAATGTAATCTTCCTTTGGCTGATTGTCTGAATAATCGCCGTAGCTGCGCAGGGAGAAATAATTTTGTGCTTCTGTTAAAATCGGCCTTTGTTAAAATTCTCGAAATTCTTAACATACCCGTGTGTCAATTTAACGTATTGCGTTCGTGTTGTCTCCACATTTCATGTTGCGTCGATATTCAACATGTATAAATATTACGACAACGTCAAATAACGTAAACGTCAAATTAACGGAAACTATTTATCGAATGGCGTTTGTGACGTGTGAAATGTGTTGAATTTAACACAAAATTTAACACAAAATTTTTCACTGTGTGTTTCAACGAAGCCGCTACGGCTACCTCTCAGCCCCCTCCGGCTAATTCCTTTTTACCTGCCGCGTGGCGAACGAAGACAGAAGTTCCCGCCGCGGCTCGACACGGCGGAAAAATAACGCGACGCGGTATAACGCGGCACAACGGTGGCGGCACGTCGCGTTTATACGTGCCGGGCCCGTAAAAGACGGGCGATATTCCCTCATCAGAAAGCCCGCGGGTGTCGTTATTCGGCGGACGTATACATCCGACGACTCATACGTCGTTCGACATCGCCGTTACCCTGTTTTTACGCGTCTAATATCGCGCGTGCAACTTTACACGCACGTCCGATCAAGGAGGGTGCGCGCGGGGAGACCGAAAAATCGCGTTAGGGACTCAACCCCGTGCGAATCTTCACGGATCCGCGCAGCACGCCTGTAAATCCCCGCACTGGACGAAATCCGAACTCCGTGGATTTACGCTTTCAGCGGGACGCGCGCTCTTCGGTATATCGTTATGCGAACGTTCTAGTGATTATTGCTGGGACATTGACTCCCTTGGAAATCAAATTCTCACGCGAGCACGTGAATCAAGAATGTCAAACTAGAATGTCAACTAGACGTTGCATCTTTTCTTTCAGCTGCTACTCCATTTTCGTCTAAACTCGACGTATATATATATATATTTTTTTTTCTCGTTTCACTTAAGTCTACAGATCTACACGGAGAAAAATAATTTTGCTGTCGCATCGTTGCTGCTGCATATTCGTTGCGACAGCAATCAAATTTAGTAAGAATAAATTTAGTAAGAATAAGCGAATTATTCGTGATTAGAGCTGAAACCGTTTTGTCGCCGGGATAGAAAATATATTCTGCCGCATGAATTTGTCCTTGGGACACGTTAATTTGCCGTCGGAACAAAATACAGATTTCCTGCATCTACTAATTTGTTCTCGCAGCAAATTTGTAAACTTCCAACAACAGGCGTTTCCCGCGTTGTCAAAATGCTGGAAACTTGGGAATTGCGACGTCTGATAGCGCTGGACGACGCTTTTTGCCGGAAATTGCGTTACAATTTAGCGTAAAAAGTTAAAGGCTTACCGCAACTGGATGTAGATCCGGACCGAACGATAGACAGGGTCGGCTGACGAAGACTGACGTTAATCATCGCGATGAAAAATCTCGACGTGTGCGAAATAAAATCCGCTAACCGGCTTCACCGGACACCCCCGTCGCCACTTTACCCGTCTCGTTTTACGAATCTTGAAAAAGGCTCGCGGCTGGTCGAATTCCAGCAGCGTGAAGATATTTCGCGGCAGTCGTCGAGAACGGATTCTTAGGCGAGAGCGCGCCCGGCCAGCCCCGCACGACGCTCGCTATTACCAAAATTCGAGCTAATAGCTAGTTAGGGGAGTCCGGCCGGCTCGCAAGGGGCGAATGCGAGGGGAGGGGGACCGTCTCTCTTTGTAGCCTTAATTCGATTAAGACCGCCATCTTTCCCGGCCGGCACCGTCGCGCGTAACTCCGTTATCGTGGCACGACTGCCCAAATTCGATCGTCGATATCGTCTTGTTGGCCCCCGGGAGACGACAGACGGCGAAACCGCGCGTCGACGCTGAATAATCCGCCGTATTCGCATTCCAATTATCCCGCCACGTGCCGTCGCAAGAAAGGGTGCCGGGATTCTTCGGGAGGGGGGGGGGGGGGAGAAGCGGAGGGATGCGGGCCGCGAGATCGTCGTTAATGCACAACGCACGATGATAACCCGCTCTATGCGCGCGCGGACAGGGTAGTTTCGGCGTAAATACCGCTCCGTGGAGCAAGACCGGCGCGTCCGCTCCAGAGAGTTAGAGCTGGAGGGGAACGGTATGTTCCGGGCAGTTGGGGTAGTTGGCGAAGCGTCGCGTTACTCGAGCGGGAGAGACCGTTCTCTCTACCCTCGTGTAAAAATATTACTCTAATAAGCATCGCAAATGCGCTCGCTATTACAGTCCACGACAGCTATGATCGCTTGGAACTATATCGGACTATACCACATCGGCAAGACACTATTATTTCTTTTTTTATTAGCCGCTGAAGTAGTTTAGCGGTTCATACGCGGTAAAGAGGCACTCTTGAGGCGCTTCGAGACCGAGTGAGTCCACGACTTTACGATCGCGAGCCCACCGGCCACCACGGGACTGCTTACGCGTCCAGATTGTGGGATCGCGCCGCGAATACAAGCGAATCCGCCTGAATTGGATCGGATTGGATCGAGTCTAGAGACATGGGTGTCGGATCTCGCGCCGGTTCCCGGAGAACACGTTTCAGACGGCGGCAGTGGAGTATCATTCATTCGTCAACTTACCGCGCTAATTTATTACGACAGTTCCCCCAAGAAGAATGATCGCGGGTAATCGGCCTGTGTAATGCGGTGGCTCCAGACTCATTTTAGTAGATACGGTTAGAGCGCGCACGCTTCTGCTCGTTCATCTCGCCGGTATCAGGACAATCGTTACTGTGCGCAGGTGCAATGAGAGCCCCGGCACTTAATGCGCGAGAGACGAGAACTTAGCCGGGTAACTCAAAAACACCGGCCGCGTCTCACCGTAGAAGTCTCTTGACGCCGTTGCCCCGCCAGCGTTCGTTGAACTCACTTGCACCCACTGTAAAAGAACAAATTCTCGTTATTCTTCGTGGCGCTCGCGCACCAAGCGCTCGGCGCTGAGGACGCGTCCCTAAGGATTCCTATACATAAGGGTCAAACGGAGATATCGAGTTTCCGCTTATCCGCCACACGTCGTTTAGTTGCAATTTCAAATTCGGACTTGGAAACCCGCACGAATATCGGATCCACTCGGATTCGGAATGCCGGTATTCAATCCGAGCGAGTCCGGTGAAACCCCCTTGGATCGTCGCCGTGAGCACTCAACGTGCCATCCCCAAAAACTCTTTCCACGTTACCCACTCGTTTAAATCTCATCGCTTACGTGGGTGCAACCTACTTTCGCGCGGTTCTTTCCCGGAATGCATCGATTCCTACCTGCGATACCTGCAGATGGAGAGAAAGAGCACCCGTCATCGTCGTCGTGGACGTGCTCTCTCCACAGGCGCGCGGCACTAGTAACGACAGAACAACCACCACCACCACCTCCGCCATCAGCAGAGCGCGGCCTCCTCTCATCATCATCAGCGGATCGCCGTTTCGGGAGGCCGATCGGTGGGCCTCGCCGGGGCCGATGCCGCGAGAGAGAGAATCCTCTCCTTCTCGGCGGCGAACAAAGCGAGACGCGCGGTCTCGCGGGAGGCCGCGAGAGTGAGAGAGGCGGTATGAGGCGGTCTCTATGGGCGGCGCCTGTCGGCGCGTCCGATCGGAAGGCGAGCGGCACGATTGGCCGGTACTGCCGCGGTGTGAGGGGAACGTGAGGACGCGTGAGGTACGGCAAGCACCTCCACCCGCGCAACGTTGCCGTCTCCTTGCCGTGGTACGTGGTCTGTATCTCTCTTCCTCTTTCGCGCGCTCTCCCTCTCTCTCTTTCCCTCTATCTCTCTTTCGCGCCGCCGCCACTGCAGCTGCCGCCGCCGCCACCACCACCACCGTCGTCGTCGCCACCGCCGCCGCCACCGCCGCCACCGCCGCGCCGCGCACGGCACCTCCACTGCCGCTCGAACGAACCGCCGCCGCGCTGCTGGCCCTCTCAGTCGCGACGCGCTCGTCACAGGGTGCAGATCGTACGCCGTTCGTCGTTCCGACACCCTTCGCCGCGCGCAGCACGCGCTTATCACGCCGCAACGCGCGGCGTACACCGCGATTCGTGTCTGTAACGTGCCCGTTCCGCCGTGGAAATCGCGAGACGTTCTTGTCGTCGGTCGTCGCGTCTAGGAAGGTGGTTGGTGGTGGGTGGTTGACGGTGGCTCTCTCGGACGAAAACAACGCGATAGGACCTTCTGACGGATGATTGGACCGAGATAGGTGCTGGGTAGATAAGAACTCGGGGAAAAGTGTGAGAGGGGGGGGGGAACGATAGAGTGAGTGATAGAGAGGGGAAGAAAGATAAAGTGTGCCGCGTGGTGCATCGGAGCAGGGTCGCAACCCTGTTTCGGGACTCGATCCCTCGGGAGACTCCCCCCGTCGTGTACGATGGGTGAACAGTAACTTTTTCGCCGTGGGAGTGGAGTACGTTTTCGGCCGCGCCAAGTTGCACGATGCTCGACCGCGACGTCCCGTTGGGACGATGACGCCCGCGTCGGTTCGCGTCTGACAGATCCGCGCACGTTGCCACGAGGCGCGCGGATAATCTCTCACTCCCGCGTACATCTGGAGTATTGCGAGTGGCTGTGCATGTGTGTCGTTGCAGATGCGGCCTCGTTGCTGATCCGATCAGGCCAGCGTTGTCGATAACGAGAAGCCCGAGGCGAGAGACACCACGAGGAGGCCACCGTCGACAACGAGGAGGAGAAGGAGGAGGACCGGGGAAGAGGAGAAGAAGAAGAGGAAGAAGACGACGACGACGTGTGACAGGTAGCGGAGGAGGAGGTGGAGGAGGGAGAGAGCGTAGGTGGAAGCGCGCGCGTGGCGGAGAAGAAGGATCTCTCTCCCCGTGAAAAACGAGAGACGCACGGTGGTAGCCTGAGCGCGCCCGATCATGACGCAGCAAAGCGGCGCTGGGTCACCCCAGCAGTTCTGCCTGCGCTGGAACAACTATCAGACCAATCTCACGAACGTCTTCGACCAGCTCCTGCACAGCGAGAGCTTCGTCGACGTCACCTTGGCCTGCGACGGGCACAGCGTCAAGGCCCACAAGATGGTCCTCTCAGCCTGCAGCCCGTATTTCCAAACGCTCTTCTTCGATAACCCCTGCCAACATCCGATCGTCATCATGAAAGACATCAAGTGGCCGGAGCTCAAGGCCGCGGTCGAGTTCATGTACAAGGGCGAGATCAACGTCTCCCAGGAGCAAATCGGGCCGCTGCTCAAGGTCGCCGAGAGTCTCAAGATTCGCGGTCTCGCGGACGTCAACAGCGAGCAGGAGCTCACGTCCAGACCGAGTCTGGAGGAGGCCGCGGGCGCGGCGATGCACCGGAAGAAGCGTCGCCGGATGTCCGGCGAGAGATCACCGTCCGGCACGAACAGTCCGGAACGTGTCGGTTCCGGTAGCATCGTCGACGACCAAGACGTCATCGGCGGCAACGTCGTCGTGCCCGAAATCCACAACATGATCCCGGCTGCGAGCTCGACACCGAGGTCCCTGGGCTCGCCCAGCACGCCCAGCATCTCCGTCACACCGCAGATCAACCTGCAGGAGCTTCCGGTCACGCTGCCTCTACCGCCACCCCCGCCGCCACCCCCGCAGGGACAGCAGAGCTCGCACCCCCTGTCGACCCACCACGTGCCTGGCCACGTGACTTCCGGTCCGCACGCGCCCGTCAACCACCTGGGCGGCCACGGCCAGCAGCTCGGCGTGCAGCAGCAGCAGCAACAGCAGCAGCAGCAGCAACAGCAGCAACAGCAACAGCACCATCAGCAAAGCGCCGGTAATCAACCCGGTACCGGAGACGACCTCGAGATCAAACCCGGCATCGCTGAGATGATTCGGGAGGAGGAAAGGGTGAGTCGTCTTTCTCTATTTTGCGCTCTCGGCTTCCTCGCGCCGCCGAAAGTGTCGCGTGAGCGTCTCTGGAGATTGTGCGCGTAACGTGCCGGTAGTGATGAGTATATCTATTCGTGGAAGGGGGGTGCTGACTGATCTCTTCTGATTAGAGTACGTACGGATTCGCTCTCCAAATTTCTTCGAATGAAGTATTCCATTCGACGAATTCCCCCGAATTCGAGTGACATTTCATTGATACAGAGTGGACGCTCCATTCTGAATCGTCGAGTGAATATTCCCACTCGAAGGTGAAGAGTGAATTTCACGCGCACAGATCGGCGTAACAGCCTCGGCGTATGAAATTATATCGTTTTAAAGTTTTTCGTTTTCGGGTTTTTCGATAACACTTTTAGAGCATAAGAGAGAGAGACACATGATGTGCTCTAAAATGATGATGATCACATGAACTTCATGCGATGACGGCTCTTGTCCCGAGTTGTGTGCAAAACCGTCGCAAAAACAATCCGCTCTAATCGATTGAAACGTTCACTCGAATGGATTGAGAATCCACTCTATACAGTAAAACATTTTGCGCTAATTTAGTACAGAGTGAATATGTTAAAGAGCAACACAAATATTATGTCTAAAATTAATACGTTAATCGACACTGAAATGTGTTATTTTAACACATGTTAAAGATCAACGCAAAACACAAAATGTTGAGGTAGCATATACACAATATATTAAATTAACACACGCGCTTAAAAACTTAATATAAAAATTTCAACAAGGACCGATTTGAACACAAACACAAAATACTTTTTACCGTGTAAAGTTTGATACTAAAGGATGGAACTTTTGTGATTCCGAGCGGCGTTATCTTCTTCATCGCTTCGAGTGAATTTCCACTCATTCCGAACGCGGAAAAAAAAGTTTCGCGAATTATAGCCGCGCTGCTATATTGCATCGTTACTTGCAAGCACTTTTAAGAATTCTCAACGAGCGTACGCTCGTCCGTGCGAGTGAAATGATACTGTTTTACGCGATTAATCTTTTTTTACGGACGAACATTTGTCTTTGCACGCGTGAGCGCCGATATGTAATTTCCGATGCAAATTGCGCAACAAGAAGTCAGTAATTGCGCCGAGTGTTGTAATTAGAAGATTTTTACGTACATGATAACTCCGAACAGCTCGGATATGTATTCCGATGCGCGCTGGGCGTAATTTTCCTGTTCTCATGCCAGAGGAGTATTACTTCTTTCTCGTCTTTTATAACTCGGAAGACACACCCCGGTCGCACAGACGGGAGAATAAAAACGCGGCGATTACACATTCATTATCGAATCGGGATAGGATGAAAGGAGGAGTTTCCGTTAGATCTCGGCGATTCTAGTGACTTGTTGATCGCCACTGATCGATCGCGCTTCGGCTCGGGCTGTGAATGAAAAATCTTCACGAATCTTCGTGTCCACGCGAGAGCCGATAAAAAGTGTACAAAATTTCTCGAACACGTAGGTCTGCTTTTACATGATAATAAACCACGACGACTGGCGATATTTTCTGATTCGAATTATGGCACGTTACCAAAACTGTCACAAACCTAATCTCACCGTTGACAAGTCAAACAAACAGGCGGGCGAAGCTCGTCGCGCCGCGACCGAAGAAAGATTCCGAATATACACCTGAACTTTGCCGGCGTCGGCAATAATGTAAATAAAAAGCGAAAAAGAAAGGTAGAGGGGGAGAGTGAGAGATGCTCCAATATTTGCTCAACATTTAGAAATAATTCGGCGACGAGAGAGTCAATTAAAAGTTTCCCCTCCGGTCGGGGAGCGTGCCCCGCCGCCAGAAGTGAAACAAGAAACGACGGGGTGCGGCGGCGTTTCCCGCGGCGAACTAACCCTCTTCTTCTCTCTTTCGCTTTCCCCTCTCTCTCTCTCTCTCTCTCTCTTTTACTCTTTCGATCGAAAGTTTCGCACTCTGAGTGGGTTATAACCAACTACCCTCTCTCTCCCTTTCTCTATCTATCACTTCGAAATCACCCAGACCCAATTTTCCCGATAGAGTGAGCAAAGATGGAAACGATCTCGCGAGTTTTCGTTATAACGAGAACGCGACGGTGATGGTGCGCGCCATCGGTTCCAGCCGAGGTGCAAACGGCGGCGAAACAGCGGCCGGATTCTCCCGAGGAGGCGACCCGGTCTCTCTATGTCCATCCACGGCAATGAACCCGCTGTAATTGGCCGCTCTTTTCACGACCGGTTCGTCTCGCAGCGGACGGACGAACAGGACGCTACGGCCTCGAGTCGCGGCGGCCGTCGCCAATTATGCGATCGGCGGGCGCGCGCGTCAGTTTTCGCGCCGAAACCCCGTTCTCGCTTCCGATGCTCGCGGAAACGCGGAGGAAAGAGAAATGGACGGACCGACGGAGGGACGAAGGCAGGCAGGCAGGCATGCAGCAGGCGGAGAGGGTGGGAGGGAGGGAGTAAACGGGCGGTGAAAGAGAGAGGCCCGCGCGCTTTTCCGGAGGGGGGAAGAGGAGGAAGAGGAGGAGGGCCATCCCAATTACCCGGCGATTGGCTTCGACGGTATGCGCTAATTGAGAGTATCAATGAACGTCAATGAGCGCAGTCAATATTTGGCCGGGGTGCATCCGGCCGAGCGTTTTGTAACGTTCTTTTTGTTAAAGCGGATGACAAATATTGACCGCGCTCGTTCGCGCGCGTACGTGACGCACACGCACAGGTCACGCCGGCCACGCACGCGACATATACATGCGCTTACATACGCATACGTACACACACACACATATATATATATTTATATTCGTGCACTCACACACGTCCGAGTATCGACTGTTCTCGTTAATTACATCGGGACGACGGTGTCTCTTGCATTATTTATCGTTCGCTACTGGCGCAAGTTATTAAGCATGCGGCTAGTTACAAGCTGTTTTGTAACTAGTACGCGATGAACGTCGGACTTCGCGTCGTTAGAAACCAGAGGGATGGCAGCGTTTCTTGGGGAGTCGCGAAGAGCTAAACTCCGATATGTGCCGCCCCTTCGGGATCTTCTCTCGATGATCGCGCGAGATTAATGCGAGTGGACGGATTAATTCGGATTTAGGATAGATGTGGTAAATTCTTAATTTTGTGTCGCCAATGTTGGAGATACACGTTGAAATAGAAACCTTACGTAATTACGAGAGACATCACGAGGTTAGCACTTCTAAATTTGAGATACTAACCTCGATGTGTCCCTCACAATTATAATTATCCTACGTATACGTAGGGTTTTTGTCTCAACGTGTATCTCCAATTTGGCGATACATAGTTAATAGTGTAAGGCTTCAGGCTTTTGCCCGAAGCACTAAATTTCTGACGTAATTTTTAGCAAGAAGCGTTTCCAGCACTTTCATTCGAAGATTCCTCAGATTTAAGCATTATTGTGACTTCTGGCAACGTGGGAAACGCCTTTTGCCAGAAATTACGTTACATTTTATCGCTTAGAGCAAAAGGCTGGAAATTTTCTTCACCTACCGTGGAACCGGACTTACGCCGGAAGCAACATGCTCGCGACACTCCACGACGGATGTGACCGGTAATAGCACGGTTTGCTTCTATCGATTCGAAGACCTTCCCGCGAATTTATCGCGCGAACACATCTGTTTATCCGTAATAATCAATCCGAGGATCCGGCTACTTCGACTGACGGCTAACGAACGTCTCGGAAAGAGCGTCGTTCGCGCGCGAACTCCGGAGAGATCCGGAGATTCTAGAAACGCGGGATCGGAGCTAATAAAGATTCTCATGTATTATTCAGCTGACGCTTCGCGCGATATGTAATGCGCTTTACATTAATAACTAGGTTTTTACACTGCTTGCGTGCGATGCGATCCGCTGGGCATAAGAAATACGCGCGACACAGTATGAGAATTTATACCGATATATCGCGATATGTCTCCGCGGCGATACATAAGAATCTGTGACTCTCATCGGCAAGAATTAGGACACCGTTCCATGGACAACGGAAAAGATGTAGCGGAGAAGTGACCAATCGGAATCGTGTTCATACTCATCCGTCCCGATCTCAAATGACCGTGTTTCACATTTCACCGTAACAAATACGGAATAGTTATATATTTTTCTTATGAGATTGATTATTTTTATTGACCGTAATCAAGAAAATCTGATTTTTCATTTTTATAAATTTCCGTTTTTCCTGCGCATAAGGAATACGACTATATTCGAAACGGATTAATGTGAATATGATTCCAATTTGCCACCCTTCCACGACATCTTTTCTGCTTTTCCGCTTCCGTTTTCCCGTTGTTCAGGGAACAACACCTTTAAAACGCACTCTGCCGTTACATCTTACTCGCGCGCGGTCCGCCTGGCCGCTGTGCGCGTCAGCTCGTCGTGTACACGCGGAAGAAGACCCTTCAGGGACGGGGATGGCATCGCGACGCGGTAAACCCCGGCAAACACGTCGCATTTTCGCGTCCAGGATCGGTGGGATCCGCGCGCGTTTGTGTGGCTGGGAGAGAAACGGCGGCCCAGTCGCGTCACGCGTTCGCGGGGGGGGGAGGCGGCGGGGCGCTTAGCGCACGCGGAAAAAGAACGGCGGCTGCCAAGATTCCGCCGAGGAAGAGAGAGAGAAAGAGAGAGGAGAAGGGGGAAACGCGCGGAGTTCAATCTAGGAAATTAAAGCGAGCGCGACGTCGGCCGGCAAGCGGCGTTATTTTTCCTCTCTCTCGCTCTCTCACGAGCCGCGCGCGTACCGCCGTTACCCCTCCGCCGCCGTTGTGCGCCGTGACGTAATCCGCTGTACGTATATAATGGTTATAACATTCCGCGGAATTCCATTATGTTAACGCAACCACGTTCCAATTCTCCGGGCGTGCTTGCGCGCGCGCGCGTATCGTAAATGCGCGCCGTTGTAGTATCGCAACTATTCCGCGGTACCTTCCCGATTAAAATACCTAATTGATGCGGGCGAAGCCGGCCGATGGCCGGG